AGTACCTGCGAAGCTATGTCAATCATCAACAGGATAACTGGGTTCAGATCTTACCCATCGCACAGTTTGCATATAACAGCGCGATGACAGAAGCAACGAAAGTCTCACCGTTCTTTGCCAATTATGGCTACCAGCCAGAAGCATATAGGCAACCAAGACCGGATGAATCACGAGCTGAACAAGCCCTGATCGTGGTGGAACAACTGAAATCGTTCCACGAACAACTTGCGACGGACATCCAATTCTTAAATGAACGATCCGCCGCATACGCAAACAAGAAGCGCAGTATGGAACCTGCCTTCAAGGAGGGGGATAAAGTATACCTACTCCGGAAACATATCAAAACGAAACGACCAAGCACAAAGTTGGACTTCAAGAAATTGGGACCATTCAAAATATTGAACAAAGTCAGCTCAGTTAATTACAGACTGCAGCTACCCAGGAAGTCTAGACTACACGCGGTATTTCATGTCTCACTACTGGAACCAGCAAGAGGAAATACCCCAATTGCGACCGACACCGAACTCCAACCCGAGAATGAGATAATCGAATATGAGGTCGAAGCGATCCTAGACAGAAGGTTAGTAGGACGTCGAGAAGAGTTTTTGATAAAATGGGAAAATTACGAACCTACGGATAATTCGTGGGAACCAACAAGGAACATCAGCAAAGAACTGCTGGAGGAATATCGACGCCGCCATCCGCCAGCCATTGATCCCAAGATGCAGGGGAGTAGGCCAGTGGATCGGAGGAAGCGGGGGTCCCGGTCACAGACGAGGAGGCAGCGCTAACTGCCTGTTCCTCGGCCTCAACAGCGTCACGCTTCTCAGCAGCCACACGTTCGGCCTCCTCTGCCGCATCAAGCTCGTCGAGGGTTTTCAAACCTCGCCGGAGCATATCTTTACCACGGGTTCGGATGAGGCGTTTCTGCTTCCGCAGACGAAGTAACTTCGAAAGGGTTTCTTCCTCTTCGCGATCCAGGCGATCCTCCTCCCGTTCGAGCTTCACCCAGTCGGGATGCTCAGGACCCATACAGTCACACTTTTCTTTCAAGTTGCGACGAACGCACTCGGCGCACCGCCGTGAATCATTTGGAGACGACACGCAAGTAATGTTTCGCCTCACGCAGTTCGAGCAAGAATCCATTTCGGGTAGTTCGTATCCGTGGTTCTTTATTCGACGGACAAGATCGTTGCGTTCCTGGAGTTTGCGGGCAGTGTCAGTAGGCATGTTGCATGTTGAAGGACTCGCTGAGGAGCAGCAGAGTCCCGGGGACATGGACGTACTTATAGGATTCGAGACGAATGCCCAGGGGAAGGGAGCGAGTGTTACGACGGAACAAGAAGGCTGGCCAACTACAGGACAGGAAGGAGGGAGGTCGCATGAGACCGGCCCTGGTACCTGGAGGGGCAGCGGGGAATAGTAGTTCCGAAAGTATCACGTGACGGACTCGCAGGATGATGAGAAGAGTCCTAAGAGTCCAGGACTCCGAGGACTCGAGTGAGTTCCCAGGAGTCCACTAGGCACGTGATGGACTCGCAGGATGATGAGAAGAGTCCTAAGAGTCCAGGACTCCGAGGACTTAAGTGAGTTCCCAAGAGTCCACTAGGCACGACGCCACTATATAAGTAGATAGTATTTCCTTAGATAGGAGCTTCGTGCTCAACTCAATACAGTATTTGTTATATACTAGTAACGTGTTACTTGAAGCCTTTGTGTCTGATCCCCTGCCTCCTCTGATAAGTAAACCTTTATGCAAGAGAACCTCTGTGTCTTCTATCGTTTAGAAGTCAGCGTTACAAAGAGCTACAGGATGAGAGGGATGTTGTGCAGCAGGTAGAGCAGGAAATAAGGGCAAGCCGTGGTCGGAAGCCAAGGGAAGAAACCCGTGCCCGTCGCTGTGGCAAGTGTGGTGAGACTGGGCACAATGCGCGCACGTGTCAGATTGTAATAGACACCTCTGAGGAAGAGGACTCCGAGTAGTTTCAATTGATTTCTAATGTTGTGGTAGATTTATCGCAATGTTTGTCGTGAGGGTAGATAATTTTGGCGCTTTCGCTTGTTTGGCGCTTTCGCTATACATGTACGTTATACTCTTATTATTATTTTATGTTTAAAATGTTGTGATCTTTGCAATATAGCTCAAAATCGGTCGAATAATGACTCTCGTGTCCGTCGAGAATCAAAAGTCGATATACACCTTTCGTACGAGGTTTTGTATGTCGATCAAAGTGCTGAATCCAATCTAACCCTCGCTCATTTGTAGTCCAGCCATTTGCAGTTACTGCAATAACCCAATTGTGCGGCAATTGACTGTTTTCATACCAGGATGACAAGTGAGGTTTGCCTGCAACAATAATATATGGCGGTACCGCAAACCCATCAGCACTAATTCCTTGAATAACTGTAGACCATTCTCGATTGCCTTGCTGCTTAGTACGAGCCTTTTCTTTGCGTTTAGCGTTTGTCACAACCATTTCAGACGATATTTGGCCCATTAGAAACCCTGTCTCGTCAAAGTTATATGTATCCGTCTCAAGGATTCCGTACTTGTCAATTGTGTTTTGTACAAGGCGAAACCACATGTTATATGCGTTTGGATCTTCGCATTTAGCTCTTTGATAATCAATTTGTCTGCTAAAACGCGTCCGTAATTGTGATTGTCGTCGTACGAAGTTCATAGTCCAGTTCTTTCCGATGCGTTGCACGTTTCAGTCTGCAAGCAGTCGATTTGCCATATCTTCAACACAACTAACTCGAGGAGGGAATGATCGCGAATCCAAGTCAAGAATATGTCGTACGATTGTTTCCTCTTCTAACAAAGTTAGTTTTCGATTCTGAGGGATAATATCGCGTCGTGCAGATGTCCCGTGTAATCTATTAGACAGTGTCGTACGAGGCACATTATATATCCGCGCAATAATTGTAATTTTTAACTGTGGGTTATCTCGAAGAGCTTTTACAGCTAATACAAGATCAGACTCTTTCCATGTACGACCCATTTTTGTAAAAAAAGTTATTATAGTTTAAAGTCAAAAGCGCGTACGCCAAGAAAAATCTGCCAACTCGCTTGTGCAGCCAACTCGCTTGTGAACTACATTATTCATATTCATAAATACATAACGTATTTCACAAGCGAGTCGGCATCCCAAGTGAGTTGGCAGCAAAAACACACAAATTGACTATTACTACAACTACTACACTACCACCTTATATAATAATCCCTATTCTATTGTAATTGATTCCTAGCGCCTCTCTTACGTACGGGTATTATGTCCTATTTTCTCACATCAGCTACAGCGCTTCTGTCAGCCCTTAGAGCCCACCTGCCAACTACTCTCACTTGTCACCTCTATACGGACTTGAGCATCAACCTTAGCACTCTAAAGGATATCCTCTCCCTCTTGTACAGAGAGACTACGGCCTTGCATTATACGCCTCTTGTGCTTCCTTTTCCTCCTCTTTTCTGTTCATTTGCTACTTGTAGAGCCTTAACTTCTGCGTTAAGCAGAACAGCAGAATGCATCATAACTTGTACCCCCTTAACAAACAGCATCATTAATTGAGCTAGGAGAGCTGTTCTGATGTCGTACAATGCGGTTCTTAATGTGCTCTGTTTGAAAGTTAAGCTCCCTTATAGTTTGAGGAGTCTTTGAAGTCCAATTGTTACTCTTAACTATAGGAGGGGTTAGAGTCCTTAAGTGCAGATTCAAGTAGAAGAGAGCGCAGGTCAGGTGATGTCCGTCAGGGACTATATATTGTAAGCTATTGGAGCTGATTCGTGGATCCGGAGATTTACACCCAAAATCGGATGGGATTCTCCGGCCACCGTAATCACTCTTCTTGGCAGTGGTCGACAGAACAGAGAAATATAGCAATATAATAGAGTCAATTGATTATCTAAATATCTCACCGTTCTACGTAGCTTATATAGGTGAGGAGTAGCCGAAACCCTGAGCTTTGGCTTACCCCCACGGCAGTTGGTCATAGCGATAACTGCGGCCAAGCAGGCCAATGGGATACCCTTGGGAAACTTTCCTAAAACAGGGCTAATTCCTTGGTAAGTCCCGGGATTCCCCCAGAATCTCCAACATAAACGACCTCGCAGAAGTCGTCAAAATGCGCCAGTTTGAGGCATATACGAAGGCTATATTTGAGGGAAAAAATTGGAAGCTCTTCGAGCCCCAAGTGGCTAGACCTCTGATAGTTGGTTTGAGCTGCTGTCGCCTGTCTGCTGGTTCGAACTGCTGTCGCCTGTTTGTTGTTGTCAGTATAAACTGCTGTTTTCTGTTTATTGCTGTCAATATCAACTGCTGTCGCCTGTTGAACTGCTGTTGGTAAGATGCTACTATGAGTAAGATGCTACTATCAGGAAATAAAACCAACTCTAATTTTACCCTCATATTTGCCAGATTAAGTGCATACAGCTAGTGTCATTGTTAGAGCCTTTGTGAACGGCGGTCGTCGAATGTCAGACTCGAGCACAACATGTCCCCCGTTATCTAGCAAAGGCAGCCTATTCCCTATAAAACCCAGACTAATGTGAGTGACTGATATGAATGCCGCAAATTTAATCATAATCGATGTAAACATGCCAGCTTGCCTTACTTCTATGTTCTCATAGAAGTAAGGCAAGCTGGCATGTTTTCATAGAAGTAAGGCAAGCTGGCATGTTTACACGCGAATGTACCTAAAATGGGACATGCGGGAACAAGGTCGGAATATATGCTCTTCAGAAACCATGCTGCATACCGGAATAAAGGCTGGAGCGATATTTGATCAGATAGTATTAATATACCACCTCCGGAGCAAACTAGATATAATGTAATACAAAAAGAACGCAAAGCAATGAGCCAAATTTTCAGTATCCTGCAAACAACCACTCGAAATAGGTATAGACAAACAAAATAGACGCAGCATCCCTCGCGGTAGCTTACGTCCCCAGCCAAAAAAATGTTATACATCTCTCTCCAACCATCTATCCCAATCCATGCACACCCTCACTTCTCCACCGGCATCGCCCAATGCACCCTCTTCTTCATCTTCCCCCACCCCCTCACCTCCATCTTCTTTCCCAACCCGCTCGGCCCGGGTGCACCCCCCGTCTCCATCTCGACATCCTCCCCCTCCTCCTCAATAACCCCAATCTCCGGGCTCGGCTCGCGCCACGCCCTCCCTCTCGGGCCCGCACTCCTCGACCTCGTCGCCGGCCCGGGAATCGCAGAATTCCTGACAAGCCCTCTCCCGCGCGCCGCTGCAGTCCTCCCTCCTTGACTGCCCTTGCCACTGCTGTTGCTACCCCGCTGCTTTCCGCGGCGCGGCACAGAAAGCCAGTCATGCATTTCTTGTTCCGCCTGCTCGGCCTCCAGCTCCTCGTCTGCGAGAATAGGGAGGCGCTGCAGCGAACTCGGGCTGACCTCACGCACCTGTGGTGTCTTGGCATCGTCGCTCTCGATACCTGCGCTGAGGTCGAGGTAATCGTCGTTATCGTCGACGTCGGCGGGGAGGACGGGCTCGAGGAAGTAGGCGAAGGGGTTTGCGTCTGTGTCTGAGATGTCTGGGGCGCCTTCATGACCGAGGCGGAGGATGGTGGGTGGCCAGGAATCGCGACGGATGAGGTGGTGGGACGGCATAGTGGTGGTTTGTATGAGGTGAGAAGTGGGTGTATTTGTGCTCAGCGAGCAAGATTCACCGGCCACCGCCGGCTGCGTCGAGTGACAATGCGTCGACGACTTTATTCAGTGCATGTAGCGACAGAATATATGAGAACAGACCCCAGAATACCCCGAGTCAGTCCGCGTATCACAAGGCAGGTATCCAACCAGCCAAAAAATCTCTGTATTGTATCACAAAAAACGGTCTTCCCAAACGTCTCAGCAAGTCGGAATCGAGACGGAAAATAAAAACCGAAGGAAACAGAAGGAAATACCCAGGAAAGCCAACCTATTTATACCCCCCTCTGCACCTGCACCTCCGTGTCTCCCATCCACATGCTACTAGCTGTAGCCATATCCCCACACAGCCGCAGCGCAAAGGGGATGGAGAGAAGTATGACCCAGCGCCACCCGCGCCACCTCCGCCTCCGCCCCGCTGCCTCGTCGCGCTGACGCTCCCCTATCATCAGCCGGCCGGCACTCGACTCATCTAAACGAACCCTCCCTGCCCCCCCGCGAACTACGCGTCCCTATTGGCCTCTCATGTCCCTGGGACGCACAGGCAAGCACCCAGGCTACACACCACCGCGCGAGCCGTATCGAGCATCATCGCACAGCAACGCTGGGTCGTCGCCGGATTAGCGAGACTGGGCGCCGCGGTGAGACATCGCCACGAGCGGGAGGGTGTGGTGCGGGGCGGGGCACGGGAGACATGAGGCATGGGAGGCAGATGACTGGGGACGGGACGCGTGGGGGAGGGTGGGAGCCGCGTGCTGGTGTGACGTTTCCCGCTTGGTTCTGGTACCTTCCCATCTCCGCTGCCTAGGCGGTGCTCTAGGCAGAAAGAGGGAGAGAGAAAAAATAGTTCTCACGCCGGGCTCTCGTGGGCTAATTTTACTACATACAGTTGCAGTTTCCCTGGGCGAGTTTGATAGATGGGGTCGAAATGGACAAGACTATGACGGCCCTACGATCTGCACCCGGCGCACTGCCGATCCCCAACCCCCCTGTAGGAATCATGGACGACGATGGCAAGCTTCCCCCTCCCACCTCCCCCCTCCCCCATCCCCCCTCGCCCCTCCCCATGGCTGAACGCCCGCCCACCTGCACGTCCTCCCCATCTCGATATCGCTATCACCACTATCACCACTACCACCTCTACCACCTCTACCACCTCTACCACCTCTACCGCACTTACTCACCCCATCTCATTTGATTCCATCTCATCTCATCCCACCGCTTCGCACGCGCAAAACAGAGGCCACCGGTCAACCCGGTGTATGCAACCACCACCCCAGCGGCGCAGCCTCGTGACGGGAGTCAGCTCAGCCGCCACAGTAGTCAGCTCACCGCCTGGCGGGACGAAAACAGGGTCGGCGGGGTCTGAAAATAAACTTAGGCGTAAGCTAGGGATGGGAGGGGGAGGGTGGAGTGTGTGGGTTGGGGTTTGGATGGAGCGTGCGAGGGCGGGCGAGTGATGATTGACCAGTCGGCGGGAGGGGGAACGGATCCTGGTTGTGCGTGGTGGTTGGTGATGGTGGTGATGGTGGTGATGGTGGTGATGGTGGTGATGGTGGTGATGGTGGTGATGGTGGTGATGGTGGTGATGGTGGTGATGGTGGTGATGGTGGTGATGGTGGTGATGGTGGTGATGGTGGTGATGGTGGTGATGGTGGTGATGGTGGTGATGGTGGTGATGGTGGTGATGGTGGTGATGGTGGTGATGGTGGTGATGGTGGTGATGGTGATGGTGGTGGTTGAGAATGGCTGGGTGGCTGGCGACTTTGCTGAGTATGAGATCGCAGAGAGGGGGGGCAGCCATCGCGATATATATGTTTATAAATACTTCCCCTTCCGCGCTTGCCGACGACTGACTGATCGAAACATCGCCTGAGCGGAAAGTAATCTCGATAGCGACTGTGATGCGAACATTCTCGTTACGAAACTGATAACTTTGCTTTCCTTGGCCGAGCTGCACATGCATACAAATATCCACACCACTACCCCATTCTAGCTCCTCCAGTCTGGCTTCATTCCCCGAAACAAGTCCATGACACTTTCTTTTCCCCCCGCCACAAATCCCATGGCACATCACAACACCCGCCCAATCTCGTATCACGAATCCGAGACATGGATGCCTCATCTTGCCTTGATTAGGAACTATCTATCTATCTACAGTAACAAACACGATGTAGCATGTGATAACGAGATGGGATGGGATGGATATCCACCATATCCATCCCATCCCATCTCGTTATCACACGCAGCCACCAACCAAACTCGACCTAACCCGTTCGTTATCCGCACCCCGAAGAAGACCATCCCTATACTCCGACACGGAAAACAAGAATCGCAAACAAAGTAATCACATCGCACCCCATCCGCGCATTCCATTCCATAATCGGAATCGCAAGAATCCCCTCACAAGTCCATCCCCCCCAACTCCTACCCTCCCACTCACCGCTCACCATACCGCTCACCGCTCAGCCCTCCTCCTCCTCCTCTCCTCAGCATAACTCTCCGACTTCCCCGCCGCACCGCTCAACCCAGGGATAACATGCTTATAGCTCTTCGTCCCCGTATCCCCACTAACCTCACTATCCATATACCCTCCCGGCATGCCACTCCCACTGCCACTAACCCCGCTTCCACTCTCACTGACCGAGCTCCCCAAGTCATCACCAGGCGTATAGCTGAAATCCCTCCTCCCCCTCCCCGCACCCGCAGCACTCCTCCCCTTCTCCCTCAACCTCCTCGCCTCCGCCTTCACCCGATCCGCGTCCCTCACCGTCTCAACCTTCCTAATCCCCGCCCTCTCCTTCGTCGGACTCGAGCTCGGGCTCCCCGCCCCATACTCCCCGCGCTCCCTCACCCTCTTAACCTTCTGCGGCGAATTCGTCGGCGTCGCCTCCCTCCCCGCCAACAACCCCGTCGCGCTCTCCTCGCTCCCCCCAACAGAAGACTCAAACGCTGACCCATCCGCCGCGCGATTCATCCCCCCCACCCTCGCAGGCTTCTCATGGCGATACGATCGCATAGCCGCATCGCCCAGGTCATCCCCCTCGAGCTCCTCATCACCACCCACCGACTCCGCGTCCCTGAGTCGCGATTTCTCGCGGCTATTCCCCTTCTCGCGGAACCTCTTTCGCTGCTCCCCCTTCGCCTTCTTCGCCGCCGAAGCCGCCGCCGACCTCTCCGTCTTCTCCTTCTGAAACCTCCCGCTAACACCACGGGTGATAGACGTCATCTCACTAACCACCGTCCCCGTCCCCACCAAACTCTCCTCCTGCTCACTATACGCGCTGCCCGTCACACTACTATCACTATCCCTATACCTCTTCCCCACCACGCTCCCCCCCCCCAAATCCGTAGTCCTCGTCGCACCACTCAGCGTCGTCCCATTCGGGCCCTTCCTGCGCAGGACAGTTGATTTGTAGTCCTCCCAGTCCCCTTGGCGGAAGTGGAAGCCCCCGTTTTTGGCAATGAAGAAGAACCAGATCCCTGTGATGACGAAGCCGGCGCAGATTATGCCGATGAGGGCGAAGATGGCGGAGGTGGGGACCGAGGTGGGCTGGATGGTGCCGGAGCCGTGGGTGAACGAGTTGGAGGTGTCGTCGCGGGGGTGGAGGGCGGGTGTGGTGGTGAAGGTGGCGGTGGTGCGGCGGGTGAGGGTTGTGAGGAGGGTGTGGATGGCGCAGAGGGGGTCGGGGATGGGTGCCATGGTGAAGGTGGTGAGTTGTGAGGGTTAGTGTGTTGTGAACCGTAGAGTTGATTGTGATCGTGTAGGTGTCGACTCTCCGACAGTAGTGTATCGACGTCTCTCCAAGCAGAGGTAAGTCGACAGCTCACTCAGATCCTTGACCTAAGCTTCCTAGCCGTAGCCTCTATATCCTCTCTCTTGTCCTCTCTCGTATTCGTCGTCTCAATCGTTTCGATGTAATCGTCGTCGTTTCACTCCAATTCCTCGTCGTGCAATACAGAAATAGTAAGGGTAAGTTGTATACACCAACAATCCCACAAGTAGGTAGAAGAAATGTCTCTCTCTCCTCTGTGTGTGTCTTTATTGTTGTCGTAGTAACAAAACCAAATTACGTGGCTAGACAAAAGCTCCTCGTCACCTGGCAAGTCGAGCGAGTCGGTTGGGTAATCCGCACGGCCCACCTATAAACAAACCACCCATTCCCCGCTGACCCGGCAACAGAAATCACCACCCTTTCCTAACTCCCCTCCCTCCCCCATCAATCTTCCATCAATCTTCCATCAATCTTCCATCAATCCTTCGTCAATCTTCCATCAATCCTTCATCAATCTTCCATCAATCCTTCATCAATCTTCCATCAATCTTTCATCAATCTTCCATCAATCTTCTATCAATCTTTCATCAATCCTTCATCAATCTTCCATTAATCTTTCATCAATCCTTCATCAATCTTCCATCGGCCATCACTCCCATTTCTCCCGCCCAGTGGGTCCCGCCATACCGACCCGAACACAAGCCAACGAACCCTGGCCCCTCCAAACACCAAGAAAAAAGTGACATCAGGTCTGGCCCCGTTCTCCACTTTCAATGTTCAAAACTCTCATTTTCGGGCGTTGGGCATGAAGCGGAGATTGGTTGGTTAACGGAAGTAGATTATCACATTTCTAATGTATTCCCTTGATTAAAACGTGTTTTACTTCACTGATTCAACTCAACTCAACCCATGGACACATACGGATAAGCTTTATCAATTCTCTGAAGGAAATGCCTCAAATCGCCAAGAATGATTCGTCGCGAAAGAATGATTCGTTACGAAAAGGAACACTTCATCACTAATTGCCTCACGACAAGTCATCCAACATTCATCACAGAAAAAAACGTGCTTTTTCCGATTCAAAAGCTATCTATCCTACCCCGGCCCCCCATCCATCCAAATCCTAGCGATCAGGTGTCTCGATATGGCTGAAAGCAGATATGCCCCCATCCCATCCCTATCCCAATCCTCATCCCAAACAACCTATCTGTACAGAACCCCCCCCCCCCTTTTTCGAACAAAACCCGAAAAATCTTTCCGTACAAACAAGTCCCCGAGGACGAGCAACAATAGCCCCCCCGCCAAGTTTCTCTAAGCTATTCCCATTCCCATTCCCATGCCTATCCCATACCCAATACCCAGATTTTGTCCAAGCCCAAAAAAAACAAATGTCCCCGCCCAAAGACAAATAAGAGAGATATAGTTTCTTTAGACGCCATGCAAGTAAAAAGCAAATGAATATCGCTCTTATATGCATAGCATTACATGCCCCCTCCTCCCCCTCGGCCTCGGCCTTCTCCCCTTTTGAAAACCTCCGCAGACATGATAGAAACACATTAAAACTCGGGGTATCCTGCATCATCATCAAAGTCCATACAACATCCATCCATCCCATCCCATCCATCATCGTCATCATGAGATGCTCTCCATCCGCGCGTAAAACCGTCGTGACAAGAAAACTCGTACAAAACAAAGTGAGAAAACGTATCCAAGAAAGGCCTTCTTCTTCTGCCATCCAAAGGCCAACAAATGAAACGGGATCCCGCCCAGAAGCAAAGAAGAATAAGAAGTAGAAAAAAGATATAGCAACGCAGGCTAGCTACTCGCAATGAACAAACCCAAAAACACGCAACGCTTGATTCGCTCAAAACACAAAAAAATCACAAATCGTGAGGTTCAAAACCCTCAGAAAAACCCCCTCCTCCTCCCCGCCACCGACCCCGCCCTCTCTCTCCCAGGCACCCCCAAAATCTCCCTCCGTCCCTTCCTCTCCCTCTCCCTCTCCCTCTCATCCGTCGCCGTCGGCGCATACTCCGACAGCGGCGCCTGCGACTGCTGCGACTGCGACGGCGCATACTCCGACTTTGACGCCTCGCTGCCATTGCGTATGCTCTGGCGGCGATTATTCACGATATTCAGCTCCACGCCATCCGCGTTCGTGATCTCCGCCGCGCCAATCGTCACCTTCGCGTTGCCCTTGATGCGGATCGTAAAGTCGTCGACTCCTGTGGGGTCGTTGCCGCTGACCGACCTCGTCGTGCGTGTGGTGACGGAACGCTTGAAGTCGCTCTCGTCGCGGCTGTTGCTGCTGTGCGTGCTGCGGCTGCTGCCGATGGTGTTTTGCTGCTTGCGGAGCAGGTCGGCGGTGAGCTTGACCGGCTCGCCGCCCGACACGTCGGCTTGGTACCCCGCGGCGTCGCGGATCTTATCCTCGTAGTTGCTCGAAGGGTTGGAGAGTCCGCCGTAGTAGCTCGCGCGACGTCCCGAGGCGGCTTCAACGCGGATGTTGGCGTCGTCGCGGTCGGAGAGGGATTCGCTGGACTCAGGGGCACGAGGGAGGCTTTGGCGGCGTGCGCGCGAGGGTGGTGCGTCGCCGCGGTACGTGATCTTGGGTTGGGCGGGGCGCTCGCGCTCGTCGAATTCGTAGGCGCGCAATAGGTGGCGGTGAGGGCTGGGGCGGCGGGGGCTAGGACGCTCATAGTCTCCCGAGGGGCGGCGGTCATGGTCTCCGGTGGGACGGCGGTCGTAGTCGCGCGACCGGCGGGATTCGCGGGGTTCGTCTCGCGATCGACGGGGTTGAGGCTCGTCGTCTAGGTTGTCCTGGAGGAAGACGGACTGCTCTGAAGGCTGACGCACGCTCCTTCGCCGTTGCATCGGCTGTGGCGGGGGCATATCTGCCGCGTCCTGGAGTTCCTTGGCTCGCCGCCTCGCCTCTCTCATTCTCGCCGCTTCTTGCATAAACGCTGCTTGGTTCTGTTCTTCTTCCTCAGAGTCATAGTCGTCGTCGTCGTCGTCATCATCATGGTCGTCGTAGACCCCTCTCTGCACCAGCTGGAGATCGGACGGCCTGTATCCCGAAACCGACGACGGCCTGGCAATCGACGCACCAGTCCGCGCGAATCGGTCCTCTAGTGTCTTGCGGCTCGGCGACGCGGGTTGGCTCGGCGAGTACGCCATTTGCATCGGGTTCTGGTATTGTGGTGGTGGGATCATGATTGGCGCGGCGAACATGGGTGCGTAGTACGCCGAACCGGACAGTGGCGGCCGGCTGATGTTGTTGCTACTTATACTCATCGGTCGCGTCTGTCGCGACTGCGAGGATGATGCGGATGATGTGGCGGCCCGTGGTGTGGATTGTGCCTGGATGACGACAGGATGACCGTCCCTCGTCTCGCCGAAGTATCTCGGGTCGTCCCGATCCTTCGGGCGGCTGGGTAGGTCGATGTGGTCGAAACTGACGTTTCGCTGTGTAGGAGGCCGTGACGACTTCCGGGGGCTCTTCCCCGGGTTGATGTTTATCGACTTCCGCCGTCCCTCTCGAGGCTCCCGGCCGGGTATGACTCGAATCTCCTTCACCGTGGCCCTCTCATCTGCCCTCGTGGGGACAGCGAGCGACGAGTATCCATCGTCGGAAAGCGACTTCTTCTTCTCCTTGGCGACTCGCTTCTCGTTCCTTTGTTTCTTTTCCTTCTTCGAGGCGCGGGCGGACACTCGGGTGCCGCGTATGGTGCGATTGTTGTCGCTGTCCTCGTCTCCCACGACGTCCTCGACGTAAGCGGGGCGGGCCTTATCGGACCCCATCGTTTTGACAAGCGGGCGACGGCTTTCGCGGGAACGGTGGTTGTTATAGTTGGCGTGCGCAATGGTGTTGGTTGTGAGGTATGTCGTGATAATGATATGTTCGCTTTGTGATAAGGCAAGAGAGTAGTCGACGTAGTAGTTGGTGAGTGTTGTAAGATATGTCGAAGAGAAAGAAGAGAAAGAAGAGAAGGAAGAGAAGGAAGAGAAGGAAGAGAAGAGAATTGTTTTTAGGCAGGTAGGCAGGTAGGCAGGTAGGCAGGCAGGTAGGCAGGTAGGCAGACTGGGTTGTGGTTTGTGGTCGAGGAGAGTGCAGAGTAGGCGGAGTAAGAGAGGTAAGAGAGTCCAGTGGAGAGTGCTTTGTATGCCTGGTATAGTACTAAAAGTAGGTTGGGCTGCGGTCGCGGGACTTTTTGGGACTTTTTTGGGACTTTTTTTTGGGTGGTGTAGGTGGGTGGATATTTAGGCACGGGGGAGGAAGAATAAAATGTGGGGTGGGTGTGGATTTTGTGGTAGGGAAGGGACAGGGGGGGTTGGGGGGGGTGGATGGTGGGATGGTGGGATGGTGGGATGGTGGGTAGAGGGGGTAGAGGTGGTGGGTAGAGGTGGTTAGAGGGGGTGGGTAGAGGTGGTTAGAGGGGGTGGGTAGAGTGATTGATAGTGGTGGGAGGTGGGTAGAGTGTAGAGGAGGTGGTTAGAGGGGTGGGTAGAGTGATTATAGAGGGGTGGGTAGAGGTGGGTAGAGGTGGGTAGAGTGATTATAGAGGGTGGGTAGAGGTGGTAGAGTGATTATAGAGGGGTGGGTAGAGTGATTGATAGTGGTGGGAGGTGGGTAGAGTGATTATAGAGGGGTGGGTTGATTATAGAGGGGTGGGTAGAGTGATTGATAGTTGGTAGTGGTAAAGGGAGACTTATAGCGGAAGGGATCAATATAAGAATCCACATGCAGCCGCAACGATGAGGGACGATATTCAGGCAGATAATCGAATCATCATATTTCTCACCCATCCCAACATATCACACACACAACGCACCTGCCACCCCTCCGAAACACACAGTCACTCTGCGTACTGCGCTTGTACCGCGCATGTACCGATCGCACACCCTCGCCGCCCTCCAACTTCCTGTCCACTCACTCTCACTTTGTTGTTGCCTGGCATCTGCGCATCCTCAGTCCACCAGCCAACAAACATCCCCATCCCCATTATCAAAGTAAACAACACCCACCCACCAACCCACTCACAGCCCCCCTTACCACCAACCCGCAGTAGCACGCACCATCATGCACAACTCACCGAGCACCAACCACCTCCCCCTATCGTCGGCAGCTCAGCAGCTCCCCTCAACTCCCCTGCCGAGGGGGGGTGAGCGAGTGAGTAGGATTCGTTGATGGGGTGATGGATGAGTGAGTAGGATTCGTTGATGGGGCGATGGGTGAGTGAGTAGGATTCGTTGATGGTGCCTGTTCGCCGTCTGATGCGCTACAGGAGACTCCCATCCGCGACAAACTGACAAGAGAGAAACACCCGCAACCTTGTGCCACCCGTAGATCCCTTGTCGATCCCCTATCTTTGCCATCGTTCGTTTCGTATTTCCCCATGCAAAGTCTGTTTCCTTGATACTTCCTGCCTGCTCAGTGATCGGGGTGAGACGAGACAGGCGAGACATATCTCACCATCCCGCCTGTTGTCTCATCGACTTCCACCTCCAATATAGCTGAGTCGTGGGGGTGGGTGGTGTGGGAGGAGGTGGGTAGGAGAGTCAGGACAGATCGGGGGGATTCCATCGATCGAATCGCATGCTGTCTAGCTGTCTGGCTGACTGTCTGAAGTGCGCACGCTAAGCTAGACCGTCGAGCTATCCACGCGCGGCTCCGGGGAAACTGACGCTGGCGGATGACCCATGGTGGGCGTACTATTTCGATAGCTGGGTTTTTAGCTTGGGTCGGGGGTGGTTAGTCGGATCGAGGTAGACGGGTATTTTGGCTATTTTGGTGGTGGTTTTGGGGATGATGGGATGGGAGGGGGTATCATGTGGGGATCTGGGTTTTTTGTTGGTGGGGATTTTTGGTAGTTGGTAGTTGGTGAGGTGGATGAAGGGGTGAGGGGTGCGGGGAGATGCCTACGTTGCAGGGGGCAAATAGGTTATGCTCTGTAAGGGGGAAGACGGAGTTGAGCATCTTATTGACAGCAGCAGCAACTTATCGACAGCAGCATCCTACTGACACCAGTTCAGGCCGACAGAAGCAACTTATCGACAGCAGCATCCTACCGGCAGAAGCACAGAGGCTACGGCAGTTTCAAACTAGCCTGATATGAGTTTGTGGCGTCGCTCGACTTCATTCTTGTCAGCTTCGTACGCCCGTCTGATTCCGTCTTTGTAGATTACGTTGTCTGGCGTTCCGGTCCTTCGGTGGTGTTATATGCCTTTGATATCGAGCCTCTTAGAATTTCAGGCGTGGAGGTCCGAGGAGTCCAGATGAAGACAGGTTGGAGGACTCGAGGAAGCCAAGGGTAATTCATTTCGATCTATAATGGTGTGTTGTGTGAACTACCCAGGTGCAGTAACACACGTAAAGCTTTGAGTGGTTGAAGTAAAGATCTTAAGATACAGACAGGCAGCAACATCGATAACCACGCGCCAATCAAGCGACAAATAAATATACATAAACAACCCTCTGTACATCAAACATTCAACATCTTACTATGTCTTCAAGAATGTCAAGGCTGCTAAAGCCAATGCATCCGATCCCGCCTTCAAGGTAGGTTCAATAACCGGTGCAAACTTGGCGCTATGGTTATGTGGAAGGAGATTGACAGTGTCATTCTTCACCGCATCATCCCATTTCTTTTCATCTGTCCCTCCGAAAAACCAGAATGCGTATGGGATATCGTGTGGCGTAGCAAGATCCGAGAAATCCTCACTGCCACTAACCATCCCGGATGTATTTGGAATATCGCCAAAGAGAGGCTTAAATGCATCGTGGAGAGTATCAACGATCTTTGGGTCGTTTTTTGTAAGTGGGAATCGCGACGTAGGCTCGATATCAGGCGGTTGAGTGCAGCCCCCAGCATCGCACTCAGCCATGATAATCCGCTTCACTGCTTCGATGACTCTCTTCCGCACATTCTCACTCTGCGTCCTGATGTTCAGCTTCAGCTCAACTTCGTCGGGAATAGCATTCTCTGATACTCCTCCGTGGAAGCTGCCGCATGTAACGACCACAGATTCAGAAGGCGCAACGACCCTGCTTACTACGGTCTGGAGGCGGACTACTATGGAGCTCGCGATCACGATTGGGTCGATGCAGTTCTCCGGTTGGCTTCCATGCCCACTCCTTCCGTGGATGGTGACCTTGAATGAATCTGCTGCGGAAAGAGTGACGCCAGAACCAATGGCTAACATCCCGGTCTTCAAGTGAGAAACGTGTTGACCTGTCTGTAGTTAGCACCGCAACAAATTGCTTGGTGAAGGGATCTACCAAAAGCAACATCAGGCTTAGGAATCTTCTTATATAGCCCATCGTCCACCATTGCCTTAGCACCTGCTCCATTTTCTTCGTTAGGTTGGAATACGCAAATCAGCGTGCCTGACCATTCTGACTTCGCATCATTGAGCAATTTCGCAGCCGCGAGAAGGCAAGTGACATGCATATCATGACCGCATGCGTGCATAGTCTTAGATACGGTGCTCTTATAAGGCAGATCCGTCTCCTCCTCGACTGCCAAAGCATCCATATCAGCTCTTAGCAGCACGGTTGGGCCATCACCCCTACGTAGCACGGCAGCTAATCCATGGCCGCCGATTTTCTCGTGGACATCAAAGCCAGTTTCCTTGAGGCGCTTGGCGATGATACCCGATGTCCTTCCTTCTTTGCTTCCTAGTTCGGGTTGCTTGTGGAAATCTTTGTAGATATCTTGGAACTCGGATAGGTCGGGTCGGTGCTTGTCGATTATTTCAACGATCTTTTTGGGTTGGGATTTTGTCGCGTTCATGGTTTGTAAATATCAACAAATAGGAGGCTGCCGCAAAGTTACTTTTTTAATTGAGTGAATAAAATATAAAGAGAGTTACTTGTGGTTAATTGGGAATCTACATGCTGTTTTATTATTTCGTTGACTTGATAAATCCACCATGACGTCGTAAATAATTATGACGTAAATAGCGATGTGATAAATAACGTAACTTAACGTATTTCACAAGCGAACTGGTCACACAAGCGAACCGGTCACCAAAACCAGGGTTAGCACAAAGACTCAGTGTTGCCAATACCTCCGTATAACGTAGGTCATGGCGTAAGTCGTCTAATGGCGTAAATCGCGTAGTTCACCCCACCACCACCTAGTTGATCTCGTATACCCAACTAATCGTCGTAACCAACTTTTCGCTTCGCTCAAGGTTGGAGGAAGCGATCCGCGCGCACGAGAAATGGAGGGGAAGCGAAGTACGCGCACGAGAAACGTGCGTCTGTTCACCGCTACTCTTCAACAAAACCATTTCCATAGCTGTACATAGTAATTTATATTGTAACCTGATGTAATTCATTTAATGGAAGGGACTCCTATATCAAATGCCCGTGAGTGGCTCGCAGAAAATCCTTCTGAGTCGAGGCGTGTTGCTAGTCGTATTTTCAAGGTCCCAGAATCAACTCTACGAGGAAGCATCAAGCGCCGTATTCAGAACCCACAGCAACGTAAAGGGGGGCAGAATAGGGTACTCTCTACTGCTCAGGCAGAGGCCCTTAAGAAATGGATCCTCGAGCAATATTACCTAGGGCTTGGAGCCAATAGGAATATGCTATTTACTGCAGTCTGCCAGCTCCGGAGCCCATTACCTCCACCGTCACAGAGCTGGCTTACTAAATATATTCAGAATCAGCTTCCGGAATTCCATTTTATCACTACAAAGCCTATTGCACAGCAGCGTACGAAAGCCCAAGACGAATCTAAGATTATTGAATGGTTTGAAAAATACTTCCAATTTATATGGGATCGCAATATATTACCGGAGTCAATTTGGAATATGGATGAAACGGGATTTAGGATTGGAATTCCTGGAGGTGAGAGAGTTATGGTACCACAGGCAGTAAAAGAACTCTATACTCCAAGCCCTGAGAATCGTACGTCTATTACAGTTATGGAGACAGTATCTGCAACAGGAAGAGTAATTCCACCTGTACTTATTGTACCGGGTAAAATCCATATGGATTCTTGGTACCCAGAAAATCTTAAAGGCAAAGAACTGATATTACTCTCTGATACTGGCTATTCGAATAGCCAGCTTGCCTTACGGTGGCTAGAGCACTTTGCAGTGCATACAGCTCCATATGCAAATGGGAATCCCAGGGTTCTACTCCTTGATTCTCATATAAGCCATACGAGCGATGATTTCATCATTACAGCAGACAAATATAACATCATCGTTTTCGCCTTTCCCTCACACCTTACACACATTTTACAGCCATTAGATGTGGGAATATTCCAGCCATATAAGCACTGGCACCGAGAGGCTGTGCTCTATGCCATACGGAATATGGACGTTACATACGACCTACCCTCATTTATGAGAGATCTCACCAAAATCCGGGAACAGACTTTTAAGGAGTCTACAATACTCTCAGCTTTCCGGAAAGCTGGAATCTGGCCAATAAGCTGTAATACAGCCCTCACGAAGCTACGTACATACTCGCAGCCTACTACCCAGCCTACAGAAGAGCCTACGCCTACCTTACCAATACGGCCTATTACCCCTAAACCCTCCACTTTTCGGGGGGTTGAAGAGGGGCTACAGCGCTGGAAAGACCGGGTTCCGGAGGCCTTTAGTAGCCCCTCACGTACGAGCTATACGAACTGGCTTACTGGGGCTGAAGAGGTTCTGGCGGTAGGCCGGCTCCAAGAACTTGACCTATGGGTGGCTCGGCGGCAGGTGGAGGAGTCGAAGAAGCGGGCGAGCCGAAGCCGGGCCCGGCTTCAGAACGGAGGTGAGCTCGTAGCTGCCGAAGCCCACGAGCTTCGGGCCCAGAAAGCCGAGCTTCTAGCCCAGAAGCTCGCAGCCAAAGAAGCCCGGGAGGCTCGCCAGGCTAGAAACCAGGCCCAGAAGCAGCTCCACCAGGCTGGAATTAAGGCCCGGAAAGAAGAGCGTTTCCGGAAGAAGAGCCTGGCTACTCTTCAGGGATTAGGCCTCCCAATTCCTCCGGAATTAGAGGTCCCAATTCCTGATCCAGAAACCCTTGAAAGTGAGGGCGAATATGAGAATGGGAGTGGAAATGGGAGCAGGAATGGGAGTGATCATGGGAATGAGGAAATGATAATTTTTTAAAATGGTGAAATTTTGTACCTTTACATACAATTTACTATAGGGAGGTACTTAGGACTACAATTTTTCTCGTGCGCGCACTTCGCTTCCCCTCCATTTCTCATGTGCGCGGATCGCTTCCTCCAACCTTGAGCGAAGCGAAAAGTTGGTTACGACGATTACAGTCCACTCTCGCCAAGACGATGTCGGATTAGTCGATAACACCGCTAAGTCGATATTTTTTTCAGCACCAATTGATTTTCGCACTCAATTCTCGATATTCGCGATATTGACCTTCTGACCTTTAATTATCGACTTATCCAACTCTATTATGCCTCGAAAACACACGATTACACTCGAACAGTGCCGTGCCCTTCAACATTAGGCACACAAACAGCACCCAAAACCCTCCTAGAAAGCCTGCATCAACTGGTTTCTTCACGAATTCAATCATAGGCTCAGTCAATCGACAATATCAGATAGCCTTAGTAACCGCTTTAAACATCTCGACAACTCGACAACAACTAGACAACGAAATCGAACTGGCCAATAGAATCCTCGTCACTAACAAGTCTTTAGCCAACGCCGCACCGCCTACCTTGCCCGCTGGGGAACTATCGCTGCCTGCCCCCCGCAGAACACCAACTGCTTAGAGGAGCAGTTACGGTAAGTGAATTGGTAGTCTATAATCCTTGTTGCTAACAAACCTTTAGCCACCTATGCTGGCCTCACAAGACCAATGGTGAAGTGCATGCTGGCACCACTGCCAAATGTTATGGCTGTAAGTGTTCTATATTATCTCTTGTTTTGTCTCATTGCTAACGAAGCTTTAGGCCGCACTGGGAACCAGCTGATGCCGCTCCCCCAAGGTAAGTAGTACACCTTCTGCGATTCCTCGTCCCTAACGATGAATTAGACACCCCCCGTGGCCTCGACAACGAGGACCTACTGCCTTGTGGCTGTAAGTGGCAGCATACTGCAGTAGAGCTGCTTTTCTACCGCAGGGTGCTCCCGGCTGCCACCCTCCCTCCTGGCGACGTAAGTATTGTATAGTATTAGATTTCTCATCACTAACGAGAATTAAGGCTCCCCCAAACACCCTCACCTGCACCCACCGCTGCGTGCTCTGGGAGATGTTGCAATACCTCCGAGGAGGTAATATGACTGTGTTGGTAAGTTGTATATAGCTGTAAAATAGTTCAGTGCTAACGAGGAAAAGGACTTGGTAGATGGAACTCGCCGTGCCAACACCACCCTTGCAGCTGTGGCCTCTGGCCACAATATCTAGAAGTCTCGGCAACAACGAGCTTCTTGTAAAATAGAATAATACAAAATTTGCTTTCCTTCCTTTCTCCTTGTCTTATGTGGTTGTAATGTACTGTAACGAGAGCTCTCTTAGTAGGGCTCTCTACATAGAACCCTCGGTCGCAACGAGGAAACCCCCTGCTATAGTGGTTACAGTAGTGCTCTCGGTCGCAGGCTCGTAGGCTATCGGTCGCACTATAGGCTCTAAGATTAAGAGCAGGGAACCCTCGGTTACAACGAGGAAACGTCCTGCCGTAGTGGTTGAGGTAGTGCTCTCGGTAAGGGCTCTTAGTCGCAGGCTCTCTACACAACAGAATCCTCAGTTGCAAAACAACAACACAGAATCCTCAGTCGCAACAAGACAGAATCCTCAGTCACAACAAGACAGAATCCTCAGTCGCAACAAGACAGAATCAAAACAACAGAATCTTTGGTCACGACAAGACAGAATCCTCAGTCGCAACAAGACAGAATCCAGAACAACAACATAGAATCCTCGGTCGCAACAACACAGAATCCTCGGTCGCAACAAGACAGAATCCTCGGTCGCAACAAGACAGAATCATCAGTCGCAACAAGACAGAATCATCGGTCGCAACAAGACAGAATCATCGGTCACAACAAGCCAGAATCAAAACAACAGAATCCTCGGTCACAAAACAAGACAGAATCCACGGTCACAACAAGACAGAATCAAAACAACAGAATCCTCAGTCACAACAAGAATCCTCGGTCGCAACAAGACAGAATCCTCAGTCGCAACAAGACAGAATCCTCAGTCGTAACAAGACAGAATCCTCGGTCGCAAAACAACAAGACAGAATCAAAACAAGACGGAATCCTCAGTTGTAACGAGGTATTTCTAAGAGCTACTATTCATATGAAGTAAGAGCTCTTGCACTTGTAGAGACTTCACCAGCATGTGTCTAGAATCTATTAGTATAAAATACCTCGATGGGAATGAGAGAATTTACCTTCATCTTATTTAGGGCTCTCATATAGCGGGAAACTGTCGTTGATAACGAGGGATTTCCTTGCCAATTACCACTCTCAACAACTTGAAGCCATTCCCCATGACCATACTGACGTGTGTAAGGATGCTTGTCCCTCAGTGACGGAAAGGATCTGAGTCGGGCAGGTTACGGTTGTAAGGACACAGGGCACCCAGCTCACAGTAATAGCATATGAGAGTGCGAGTCGGAGGCTAAACGGATGCTATCCTATAGGTCTACTACAAAGGATACAAAAAAGATGAAGGGGGAACCCCGTCGAGTCTGTTTCCTTGAGTACCTGAAACTGGCCCGACTCGGTTATCCCAACCCTAGCCCTGATCCTTCCACTGCAACAGGTCAGCATCAACCCTGAACCCTACACCCTTACCGTCCCCCACTATAGTGTAACTCGCTTTGAAACCACACCGAGTCAGATTTCATGCTTGTAGTGACCGTAACAGTTCTGAGACAGGTTCTTCAAGTATCTAGGTAAGGAAGCATATGCTTGTAGTGACCGTAACAGTTCTGAGACAGGTTCTTCGAGTATCT